GCTTTGCGTCTCCCTGCAATATATACCCGGTGTCGGGGGTTGGGGTTGTTGGGGTTCGGGGTTTTTTTGTTTTGTTTTTTGGCCCCTGCCCTGCCTCTGGACGTTAACTGCACCTGCTCCTGCTGCCCAGCGAAGACCTGCAGCCCCTTGAGCTGAAAACCAGAAGCTCTTCAGCGCATCAGGCCTGGCGCGTAGATCCGCCAGAAGTCTTTTTCACGTTTTCCTGAAGGTTGTAGCTGTCCGCAGACGACGTCGAAGAAGCGCGTGACTGAAGGCGGTGGGGGTTAACTGCTGCGTTAGGCAGCTTATTCTCTTCTAAACGCAGTGAAAATTCTGAGCGCGGACATTAACACTTTGCTGTGGGACTTGCGTAGCGGATATGGCCGTCGCTTTTAACCTCAGCTCTTCCACCTGGGAAGATCACTTTATCCGTTATTTTTACAACAGATTTTAATGGGGAAAAAAAATACCGTGCTCACTAACAGATTTAGGACATCAATCAAATGGATCAGTATTTCGCTGACGTGAAAGTTTTATCTGTGCTCACTGGCACGGGTGCTTGGGCTTACAGTTAAAAAAGTTGTCAGAATTTTTACTAAATTTGTGTGTAAACATTGTATTAGAAGTACATCTTTCCTGTGCCACACTTACATAAAGTCATTGGCGTCTTTGCGGTATCACCCTCATCGTAATTGCTTTTAGCTGGTCCAGCACACCTGCAGATTCACATTTTTAGCTATTTACCCTCCACAATCCTCCTCCTAATTTCCTTCTTGTGTGTTACCTTTTTCTCTATACGCTCCTGCTCTTATCTAAATACATCAGCAGGTTTAGATGTGCCCTCCCTCCCTGCTCTGTTCCTCAAAGAGCAGATGTTAGGCTTTAATAAGGCTCTGCCTCTGAGCATTTAACCACTCTGCCTTTTCTTGGTTCCTTGCTTCACATTTTATTTAGGGCTGTGCATGTGTTTTGCAACTTTTTTTTTGCAATTTCCATGCTGAGTCTAAAGATTTTACATCACTTCATGTAGGGTCTCATTGACTGGCTTCCTCATTTTCTGAAATCCCCTTTTTTAAAGTTCAGTTTCACATTCATCCTGTTTTTTATGACTTCCCCCCCCAAGGCTGTTAAATGTAATTACGTTATCCTTTCTGAACCCATGTAAACTTATCAACAGCAACGTCCAGTGGCAAAGAGGTCCATAACTTAATCACATGCTGTATGAAGAGCTACCTTCTTTTGTTTACTTTGAACCTGACACTTGTTATTTTTGTTTGATCCCCTTGAGGTCTTGTGTTAAAAGAGAGAGATGTACAATCACTCCTTGTCCATCTTGCTCATGCCAAGGCCAGATTTTGTAGGGCTCTGTCTTCCCCCCTTTCATTCATGCTGTCCTTTTTCTAGGTTCCATATTCTTTGCCTATTTGCTCCTTGTGTGGAAGCTGATCCCCCCCTTTGATCATCCTTGTCATTTTCCTCTATATTCTTGCTGGATATAGAGAAGTCAGAGATACTGCATTATTTCTTCAGTTCCACTGTTCTGTTTTTGAAATGAGGTAAAATGTTCATTGTTCTCTGTGACCCCTCCGTGGCTCCTGGAAAGCTGCAGGAAGCGTTTGCACTTACACACCTAGTCCTGCTTGTCTTTAAACTTCCTGCTTAGACGCTTCCTGCCGTCAGTGGGATAATTTTTTGCCCTTCAGACAATAAAACTGTAACTATAAGGGAACCTGGGAGTGCTTCCAAATTCTCAGGTCTTACTGTGCCCTTTGGCTACATCCAGTAGCGGCGATGAGATGCAGCATGCACCAGCCTGACCTCCTTCTCTGCTGCCTGGTTTCCGTGAGAGGTGAACCCTGGGGTGTACAGTCCAAACAGGAGCTGTATGGGCTCCTGCTGTGTGCTCCAACAGGTAGGCATTAATTGACCTAAGTGGTAAACAAAAGAATTACATTTCCACCTAGTGAACCACATTTCCGCCTGTGAACCACCTAGGAGGAGACTCCTGATATTGAGGGCAATGGGATTCATCGAGCTTCCATTTTAGGCCCACAATATCAGGATTTCTTTACAAAAAATAGTACTGTAGAACTGATGAGCAGGGAAACCTCTAGGAAACAGACCAAAGTGCCATGGGCTTGTAGAAACAAGACCTCTAAAAAATTTTTTTTAAAAAGAGGAACATTGAATAAAAGTTAAACTAATTCTAGGAAAACATATAAGCGGAGACTCGAGATTTCATCTCTCAAAGAGCGCACTCAGGCTACATTCAGCTTTGAATACAGAGCAGCTCTGAACTTAGAAAATTGGAAACATACACTCTTGTCTATCCATAAGAGATGCCTTATCATTTTTGCCCAACAATCAAATGAACTATTCCCCCCCTCCCCGTGTTCTATATATTTCAGGTATATTCCTGTACATTATAGAGGTCAGGTTTACAAAGGCCAGTATTTTTATTTTGCAGATTTCTTCCAATTCTCAAACTCTGTCCACACAGAAGAATGTCACTCTTTACACTCCATGAAAGCCTGATTCTCCCTAGAACTTGGATTCACTCAGGCAGTGCTCAGCATTTTGAAGAATTCAGCTGAGGTTCCAGGTAGTTATCCAACCGCCATTAAACGTGCTATATCTCCGTCGTGACAATTGAATGCTTATACGAAAGGAACCGTTTTCATGATGATGTGATGAACAAAGTGTCAGAAAGTTGAAGGTGAATGTTCTATTAATTTTAGCTGGAGTACTCTACAGCAAGTTAAAAATGAGGAAGATATCATAGTTTGGGTGAGTGGTATTAGAAATAGAATTTTAGATCTACTTTGCCTATGTTGTTTATGTGTTTATAAAATGTAATAGTCTCAAAAGATTTTAAGTCTCAAGCCTTCAGTATGTACCAGTAACATTTAAATCCAGTTTAATGAAATTAGTGTGAGTCAGTTCTTGGAGAGATAGGCCTTAAATGAAATCTGAAACTCAAACTGTCCCAGGATCCTGAGATAGTTCACAACTAGGTCTGGAGCAAGCATCATTTCTTCTTCAGTATTTTTTCAGCAGCTATGAAGGCAGTCTGCATGTTGTCTTTAATAATTCTGCTTGTAGAGGAAGAAGCTCCTAAAATAAATTGCTGCAACATTTTACCTCCAAAAAACATTTATTTGCTGTAGTTCAGACACCAAAAAGTGTTTTATTACATCAAGTTTAATATTTATTTACATTCACATGAAGACTCCTTAGTTCACAAATTGGCTTCTTGTTGCTGTTTTAGAAACAGCAGATTTGGTTTTCTGTTGCATTTCTGGACTTACAATCCTCTCTTTTTATAGAACAGGTAGAACACAAATACTGTCAACATCAACTTCCTCGCATTTCCTTGTCCACATATTTCAGCCTTGGCCTGAAAGGTCACTTCTGCGAGCAAAAGCGTAGCACAGCCTGACCTGGCCACACTCCTGAGGCTTTCAACAAGGGAAGCACATTAATTCATTAAGGAAGAGCTTTGTTTTTTGTGTTTATTCCCTTCACTGACAGATGGGCTTTTGAATTTTTGGTGACAGAGTACTCTTCTTAGCGTTCTTTGGCTTTTCTTCATTCTTTAATCAAGTTCCTTTTTTCTTTGTGAATAGGACTCAGATATTTTATTTTATACTTCCTAGTGCTAGGCAGTCAGCAGAATGCTGGGATCCCCCTCCACTGGGGACTCACACAAGCCATCACCACTGGGTGATTTTTGCAGTGGTGGCTCTTTCTTATGCTTCTTTTTCCTCTCCACTGCTGTGCGCAAGGCCTGAAGAATCAAGTCTTTGTTATTCTGGACATTGTAGTAACTTAGTTTCACCAATTTGTCGAAATTTTCCTCCGAATAACTCAGATTATTTATGTAATACGGGCCACAGGTATTGGCAACATCAACATCACCTTCTGCCATCTCTGAGGGACTACGTTTCACGCCTAAGGGACAAACAAGGATTGGGTTAATTAGTGAAACACGATTAGGATCTGCGTGTTTCTCAGGCATGTGCAGTTGATCACAACCCAAAGATTTCCCTCCACAGGCATTTTATTGCTGGTGTATTTGATTGGTAGTAGCGGGGTAGAGGAGCTGGTGGAGCTGAGGGGGAGTACAGGTTGTTCTGGCAGCCTAGAAAATGCCAGAACAAGTAGAATAGTTCCTTTTCTGAACACAGGAAGGTGAGACTGCGATCCATCTCCGTGTCTGCTCCTCCAGCCCTGGGCCAAGCTGGCAGCATGGCCAGGCACTGCGCCAGGTCTCCCTCCAGAGGCTGCTGCTCTCCCAGCCCTGGCCCCTGCCTTGCTGCCATCTCCTAGCCAGCGCAGCAGCTTGCACTTCTAGCTAAGGTGGCGAGTAAAGAGCAATTACTCTTTCTTTCCTCTCCTTCTCCCAAAGCAGGGAACAGCAACAAGGACCTCAAGATAGCATACTTTCTTTACCAGCAAAGGACCTCTGATGCCACTGCCACTTTCTGTGTCTCCCAGCTTTGACTTTACATCCTATTTCCCTCACTGCTATGCTTTCCTGTTTCTAGAAATAGGCTGCTGAAAATCTGCCCATTTCAGGGATTCAGACCAAGGATATTTCCAAAAGCAAACCTGCCTTTTCAGTGACCTCTGCAGATATTCTTCTGCCAAGCTATTCCCCAGCACAGTCTGCTACATCAACTCTTGGTTCCTACTGGGAGGAATTATCAAAAGGTATAGAAAACAGACAACAACAACTAGATTCTATTATTTGAACCTAGAGACTTCACAGAGCCGTTATCTGGACATATCCCGGAAACAGATGGCACAAACACTAACTGTAATTTCCATGAGCTACTTATTGCTATAAAAAGACTACAAGCTTTATGAAATATCAGCAGTGAGAATGAGCCTAATACTGCCTAAAACACTGAGACATGGCAGGGTACACTGAAAGACCTTTTCATGCGCATGTCATCATCCCAGGACAATCAACATATATATGACAGCCCCAGGCAAAACAATTAGGCAGATAGTCCCAGAAGTGTCACCTCTGGAAATATTAGATCCATCATGTCTTATAACCTGAAGACAAATTCAGTTAACTTATTTATTTTAATTCATTTGACAATAGAAACTAGATCCAAAACTAATGAAAAACTTTTATTTTTATTGTTTATTTGCAGAGCAACATTCACAGGGACCTCCTCAGTGAGCTGTTGATACTGGGAGACAAGTACCCAAGGCTTATCCTGTGATCACAAATACCAACAAATTTATGGATGTAGAAGATGTAAAACACATCTCCTCACTTGTTTTTCTATGACCTTCAAAAGCCACCTGTGATTCAATACAGCAGCTGATCTCAGCTTGGACCTGACCATCTGTTCTAGACACTGGCAGGAAGGGTGCTCTTTATTTAGCTGCTATCTTGGACACACCATGAACTTCTGAGCTGACAGAAATATGTCTATACGCTAAACTCAGTACATGCAACCAATATTGCCTGAGCTGAGGGTGTATTTACATGCTGTACGCTGTACACAGTATGCAAACTTGCCCTTCCTGAACTCTGAGCAAACATGAGCTCTTTCTGCCCACACTCGAAGAATGTCAAAAGCCTACTTGACCATATTAGCTTTGGCTCAACTCTGCCCTAGTGCAACAGAGCATACGGGCAGACTGAACTTATATCTGCCTTATAGTACAGATGCAGAATAAAGAGGTTCTTGGAGATCTGTCCATCCAGGGAAAAGGCTCAATGAATTTGGTTCAGTTGTGCAGATTCCTGGGCTCCAATCCCTCCAATCCAACCCTAGGCCAGAGATCCACTGCTGTAGGCTAGCCTGTGCATGAGGGTTCTCAGATTTGTTTCCTTCCCCGTCATTCTCACAGACCCCTACGTTTTCTAACAGCTGGTACGAGTTAAAAAGAGAGTGGTGCCAACCGAGAAATGAACGCTAATGGCAGATAAAACTATCAATGATAGTTAACCAAGGTTAATATAGACAGGGAATATAATGCTTGATTCCCTCTTATCACAGATGTGAGAACAGCAAAGATGAGAAAATGTTTCTGTCAGCTTCAATGAGACCATTACATTGGCTGTTGTACCATAAATAACAGTCTGCCTCTTCGGTCGCTACTACCTGCATTATCTATATTAAAACAGGGCAGCAGACCTTGCAGAAACCCATCATTCTCTTTCACTGAAAGAATCACATGCATTCAGGGAATCTTCTCAAACATAGATCTTTTCTGTGCTTGTCTTGCTACAAAAAAATCCTTTCATGTTTCCAGAAATCAGTTTACTCACTCAAAGTGGTTGCCTGGAAGGGTCTCTGTAAAATCAGTGAATGTACTCTGCCTGGCTTTGCAGAGAGAGTCTTGAATGAAGCAGCCTAAGCCTCATACAGAGCAATTCCCCTTTCTACTCCAAACATGAGATAGTCTAACCAGTGCAGAAGTAACTCAGTTTAAATAGGTCAGTTTTAGTCATCAACTACTCAGGCTCAAAATTCTCATTGCTGATCAAGCTCATGGATGATCTGGCTCCAGAAAAACTCCCATTCATGTAATTGAACTAATACTTTAGATGCTGTACAGTCTAGTTTGGGGCCAGGACATGGTACTGAAATTCTGTGAGTTATGCTCATCGCTGATCCCTGTCTGTCATTGACCCAAGGGCAGGCCTCTGCTCCCAGCCTTAGAGCTTTCTGTGGCGTCCCTGCCGCCAGCTGGGGTGAGTGGCATCCCCTTTGGAGAGGTGGCAGCCTCCTAACAGCCTCTCTTGGCTGTGCCCTTGCGTGTCAGCTCAGCAGGGGCTCCTGTTCCTGAGGTCCCCACCAGAACCTGTTCCCTCGCTGATTCTTTATATCCGCTTGCAGCTACCGGCTGAACCAGTCAGACAGCATGGGCTTGTCTAAGCGTGTGTGATATGCAGATATCACACAGGTCTTCTCATATACTTGCTACATACATAACAAAACCCCATTTTAGGTTCCCTGATAATTGATGTTGACAAATAGCATTTGCGTGTCATCTGACACATACCTTATATTAGATAGCTAAGCTAAGGACAACCATCCCTGGGTTCTGCACATCACTGAGGGAAAGAGAGAGGTAAATTCCCACAGAAAGCAAAACATAGGATCAAATGTTTGGTTCCTGTTCTAGTTTTTTCTTCTGCTCTCCTTTCTCTCTTTCTTTCTACAAAGGGCAACTAGAGAAACTAACCTTTTAGGTATCTGATCTGTGTTAAGTGCTTGAGTTTAAAGGGGCGTGCACCTGTGTAAATACCCTAGCATATTAGAAACCTGTTAAAAATCCCAGTTTCACACCTCAGGTAAGCAAGGAACTCAATCCAGAATATCTACAAAGTAAAAATACTGTATGATTTTTAATAATTGCTTTACAAAATAGGAATTAATACAATAAAGTCCTTTGTTTTGCTATTAAATTTCAGGTACTATATAGCATCCCAGGATCTGTGGTCTTCAGTATATTGTGGGGCTTTGAAGTGATTAAAAAAATAAAAGTATTTCCATAGCAAGTGTTAGGCATTTTATCTGGCGAAGAAATAATTGAGACTTTTGGCACCAGAAGAAGTAGTGTGAAGTTGCGGGAGAAGATTAAGAGAAAATATCTGTTAGAATTCATCTGTTTTGAAGTGACTGGCAATATTGCTATTTAAACTTTTCTCTTGATTTCGAACTCTGGGACTCACTGAAGTGAACAGAAGCTGTCCACATGTCTCAGTGTTATATTTTCATCACTTTACTAGTTCACACTTTTGTTTTCAAGGTTATCTGCCTAACTGTAAGCCTGCAAATGATTTTAAACAATGAAATCCTTGGATTCCCAAGAGCATTCTCTAACGGGAAGGAATGAGAAGTACGAAAGCAAATCACCTTGCTAATTTTTGCTATCGCAGACAGAGTATGTTTTTCATTTGTGAACTCTACAATCCACCTATGAAAACCCTGAAAAAATCTGAAGGGTGGCATACACATCCAAGGCTTATCCCAGCTGCTGCTCCATTGTCAAAGAACATTCTGTATTTTATGGTCCCTGATATAATTCAGATCTAGGCATATCTTGTGCTGTAGTGCGACTGAATCCGTAAGGGTGATCTGAACAATAGATATTGCACGGTAACAGACAGAGTGGAAGGCTACTGCCTCCGAAGAAGTCGTGGGTTGTTGTAAACTTACCAGGTGCTTTGTAGTCCCTGAAGGTGTCATTTACTAGAGGGAAAAATACCACAATAGGCGTTTCTGGGCTTTCCTTGTCCCCAACAATATAACATTCCTTCAGATTTGATGTTTCCAGTTCATCTGGCACATTTTTAGGGAAAGGAATTCCTTGTTCTGCAAAGTATTTAGAGGCTTCTCTCAGAGGCTGTTTTGCCATAATAGGAAAACAGAACAAAACAAAACGAAACATCAGAACATGCTGAAGACATTTTATTGAGTTTGTCTCAAAAACAATTTCACTGGGAATGCTTGTGGAGTAAGGGCCAAGTTCTGAAAGATTATGGCATGTACCCAGCTTGGGTGTGGTAACTGCATTTCTCCATAGACTGGATAGGGAGCCAAGATCTGAAGGACCAGATAGCAGGGAGCCCGAATCTCTTCAGAACCTTGATGCTACAGTGGGCACAACTACTAAAGTAGGTACTCCTAGAGGGTAGTCTGAATGCACTGGGCATCTCTAGGTAACAGTGGCAGAACAGCGGGACAGCTCTTTGTGCCTTTCCCTGGCCAAGACATGACTTTCTGTGGCTGATGACATGTTTCCAGCGCATAGTTGCACACAGACAAGAATTTATGAAACATACACTGAGTTCCCTCTCTTTCCCACCTAGAGGTCTGAATACCTTCTGGAGAAGTCTGCTGACTATAGGAAGAACAAGACAGCTACACTTCTTACCTAGGCATCCCAAGGATCTAGAGTTAAACAGGATGGATCTGGGTCCACATGCCTCTCTGAAAACTTAAATCCCCCATTTTGATATTAAAAATGTTGCCTTTAGATGGCTTTTTCTTCCTAAGGAATTTCAAGTTCCTAAATGCAACTGTGCTTGCATTTATTTGCATGTCTGACATCCTACATCAAACACTTGAACTGTTACAATTGTATTGCTCTGAATGTACACTTTCCTGTGCGTGAAATTGTAGGGGGGCCTCTTTGGATTGAGAAGTCTTAGAGAATTCTTAAATGCATATTGCTTTATTCACTCTACACCTAACTGCCTAAGATCAACCAAAACACATATACACATAAACACACGCCCTCCAATGTTAAGTTTAAACACAAATTATAGACAATTCTCATTTTTTTCATGTATGCGTTTCCAAAAAATGGGCAGACTGAGTTTACTAAATGCTAACTTACTGATAACACTTGTACTGATCAATAGCGATACATGACCCTGGTGAACAGTTAGCTTGTTTACTCTGCCCGGATATTGGAAAGAGGTTTCTGCGACTAAAGGATCGGCCATTCTGGTGACTCAGTGATAAAACCAAGATATCGTTAAATAAGAATGTACAAGTCTCACCCCTGTTTGTGAACCTGAACTGTAGTTGAAATGCAAAACCACATCCACTTTCCTTTCTGTTCTCATAAGTGGTGGGTAACTGGTAGCAAAGGCAAATGCTGTATCAATCAGAATGAGGGAGTCTGTTGCTCCTGTCAGGTGGTTGGGCTGGGAGTCAAGCTCACAGTCTAGAAAAGAAGCATTTTTTTTCAGGGGATGTGCTCAACACAAAAGATGTGCTACTATGTTGAAGAAAGACGAGAATTAGTCAAAGAGAAAGAATTCAACTTTTCTTTGGTCTTAGAACTATCTATATAGCTGATAGCTGCAGTTCGGTCATTTCTGCGTTCCTTGTCTGGGTTCCTTTTACCTCTCTCTAATTTGTAATTTCATTTACTTTCCTCTAATTAAGAGGAAGTAACTTGGGGCTCAGGAGAACAAAATTAATTTCACCCCTGGGTTTTTAATGTGATTCTGATCAGGTCAATTTAGCTTTTATTTATATGGAAAAAAATCAGAAAGGCACATCACTGTCTCAACAGGCTAAATATTAAAGATATTTGGTGCCTTGCATGCTGCAAGAACAGGCACATAGATGTTAATGTATGCAGCTGAAAGAGGCAAATCCCCGTATGGAATATCGAAGATCTGGCACCCAGCTGAGCACAAATTCCCAACCCGTACACAGGAAATACTGTTACAATGGTTATACCTCACTTACTGGTGAAAAGGTCAAATTAAAAAAAGGTCAAAAAAAAAGTGGGTTTCCTCTGACGTTTCTTGAAGACTGGCCAGGCAAGAGACAGCACACGATGGCACCAATTCCATGCCGCATACGAGCTGACTGGCTGCGCATCAGCAGACAAATGCTCTTTGACTAATCAGGGTCTTTCTCTTCTCTCAGTTACCAGTCTTCATGACATTTGTAAGAATTTATTTTTGAACCTCTCCTTTTAACAAATTTCAGCTATCGGTGACAAAGTTTCAAATATTATCAGAGGATGGGAAGAGAACTAACAGGCAATCAATCAGCTTAATTCCTCAAGCCTTGTTTCTGTTTTAAAAGAGTAGTTTAAAATATAACCATAAGCAGGGTGTTATTACTATACCTTTCCATTTAGAAAATTCACTCTCTAGGTAGTTGGTGTTCATCTGGAAGCCCTTTAGGAAGTTGTGGATTTCTGAAGCTGCTGGACGTAACATGACAACGTCTCGGAAAATGTTTGAGAAGCTATCAGGGGGAGAAACCACTCGAGTATCTAGTTCATTTGGCCTTGTAGTAAATACAGTTTCATCATCTGCAAAAAAAAAAAAAAAAAAAGAGTAAAATTTGTTTTATGTGATTTCTTTGTTGAGATTCTCCTATGCAACCATAATTTGTTTTAATATTTGAGAAAACTTTGACATCTTTGTCCTTTTATTTCCGGGATCTCCAAAAATCTCAGTTTTTCAGTTTAATTTTGAAAAAACCCTTTCTCCTTCTCAATCCCCAGTAGTAAAATCCTTGTTTGTGCTATAAATCAGTCCACCTCATCTACTATAACTTCCTTTGCTTTTCTATGATTTTATCCACTGCAATATCCTGCACTGATCCTGTCTTCCTTTGCTTCTTCTGTAACGTGAATTCATTATCTCTCTGTCACACGAATAGAAAAAACGCATACAGACTTCATATCCCTTCTAGCAAATGCAAGCTCCTTGTTTTAGTTATCAGAAACTGCCCCCTACAGGTGAAAGAAGATTTAAAAATCTCTTTTTGCTACATTTCTCTTTGTTACCATCTTTTTTCTCTGTAGTAAATATTTATTGTATGTTTCTCCTTCTGCAGATCTTTCTTAACTGGGCAGTGTGTTTTGCAAATCTCATCCTGATGACCAGGTTGGAATGATTTACAATAGTACTAAAGTTTATATTCTGGCTTTGTAAACTCCAGAGATTCAAGGGTGATGTTTGTGATTGTTTTTTTGAAGCCTCATGACATATTGCATGTTCCACAAGAGGAATGGGGAAGACTGGCTCACTAGGATAGGCCTCCACCCTCTCCCGCTGTACAAGGATATTTTTCTCTGGTTTTTCCCTTGTGAACTGAAAATGGCTCATATGAGGGCCATTCTCTCTTGTTTCTGTGAAGGATCCCATCGATTCTGTTCCTCGCACAACTAAAATGATTGCCATATTGTAACACATGGCATTAATTTCTTCTCGGTTTCTGTGTGGATTCCAACACAGCCTGGAAGAAGGGATTCCAAAATGACTTTGAAAAATTCAGTGAGAGAACAGCAGCACAGCGAGGAAAAAGTGAAAGAAGAAAGAGAAAATAAAATATCATCAGAGTGTAATAACAACTCACCTATGTCGGTAATTTTATCTCGAGTCCATCTGTGCCAGAAGTCTTCTGAATGAACAGATATGAACCAAGCATCCATAAGATTCAAGGAAAACACACTGCTCCAGATCCCTGTGACATAGGATATATTTGTCAGAAAGTCGTACAGTAAAGATCTGGAAGCATTTCCATTTGCAATGACCTTCATCACCTCCTACATTCCCCAGAAAAGTTTATTCCCTGAATTATCTTAGTGGGAAAATAGAAGGGAGTATCTTTTTGAATCAGGATATGAATACATAATATATATAAAGAATCTCACTTACTAACATATTTGAACAGAACTGGCAGTATTTTTGATATATCTGCCAATGCCATTTCTTTGTTGTGTGGCAAAACGTTTTATCAAGTGTATCTTAATATAATTTGCCTGTCTTCAGTGTTTCCTTTTCCCCAGGTTCCTGGTGTTCGTGATTCTAAAGGTCAAGATTCATATACTGATCTCCCTCTGAATGACAGGGCGGGCTTAAAAATTCTCAAAATAAAAAATGTAAATGTAGAGGTCTTTTGATTTGTCTTCTGATTTTTGAGGATTTAGGGCATGTCTGGGTTACAGTCTCAGGTTCTTTTCTGTAGTAAATAGGTGTTGTGGACTTAGTGGCAGTCCAAACTGCCACCTACCTGCAACATTTCAGGTTGAGAGAACACCATTACCCGATACTGCTAGAGGTGTTGAGTGTGTAACAGAGTCTTCCTGTGCCTTCCAAACCCTGGAATTAAATCTGCCATCTTGGAAGAAATGGAATGATGGGCAGAAGAAACTGCACCTGAACAGCTTGGTGATTGCCTGAACGGTCAGTACTGACCTGGACTGACAAGAACAGGCTAGGAAAGAGCAGCACAACCTATGTAGTCAATCCCCACTGTATTCTGGGGGCAGGGACATAAATTAGCTTGCTTAATTTGCTGAAAGTCTTTCAGATAACTATGTCACTAAAGTAAGTAACACATTCTGACTGAGGAGGCTGTGGGTCATCTGCAGGGGACATGGGGAGAAGTGTCCTGCAGTCACTCTACAACAGTGAGGAAGAAGAGTACCAAGGAGAGGGACCAAGCAGAGGAAGGGCCTGAGAAGTTTGACCACTGAAGAGGAGACCTGGGTGCCCCTTGGCATTACATCCAGGGAAGGGGAGTGTCTAACATCAGACTGCTTCCTCACACCTCACCACTGGCTGTGGAGCAATCTCGACACAGGCAAAATAGTCTTAACATGACTTAACTTCAAAAATCTGAAACTTCCTTTATGCAATTGGTGGGAGTTGGAAGAACAAGGAGGCAAGAGATTGCTTCACAAAGGGGAAAAAAAGTTATTCTTACTGCTTTTATTGTTCTTATGCAAGAGGGGAAAAGGTAAATATTAGATACTGTTTGTAATCCAAAAGGGAAGTGGTATCGTGGAGGATTAATGAGGGTTAGCAGCAGCCGGGGTATTTTAGATAAAAGCCTATATTCTGGAGACTTTACTTGCAAAAGGAACTGATAATTTAAATTAAGTGCAATGTTACACAAATTCTGTTGCTAACATAAAGATATATAAACATTGTAAAGGCCTCACATCAGTCAGCCCAACTATATATTTTCATTATCAAATAAATCTGTTCAGCTGAATAAATTCACAGAGAAATTTAAAAATCCTGCAGACCACAACCTGTTATTATTTCTAATCTTTCACCATGTGTTTTTATGGTAGATGAAAATATACTATACCTGCTTCATTTCAGAAGATAAGTTTGCTAGAGAATGGATTATATTATATTATATTACATTACATTTTCCTAGAGCAACAAATCACCTTCCAAGAAGCAGATTCTGGATTCTGGTATTTTCTTCATCAGGCGACCCATGAAGAACTCACTACCAAAATCTTCAGCACGGATGAAGGCTCCATATTTTAGGAATCCTACCTCGTAAGGAGTGAATTCCACCCATTCTTAAAAAAAAAAAGTTACAAGAAAGACTATGATTATAGCAACAGATGGGCAAATCAGTTGAATAAAATATGACATTATTTAGGTTAAGGCAAACTAGTTTCTGAACTAAGGTACTTTGCAAATAGACATTTATTCACTGTACATTTCACAGTACATTTCACAGTAATGAGCATGAAAAGTGAATTATTCCCTTGTATCTAAATGTGTCTACCAACTTCAGATTTTTGAAACTTTCCACATCAATGTTTAGAAGATAATTTCATGATAATATCCTCCATCATCCTGCTTTTGAACCAGAATACAGCTGAAAATACTAAGGCCTTTGAAATTTTAACTCAAAAAATCTACTCTTAGGTGCATTAGTCCTTTAGAGTATTTGAGCACTGAATTATCTGCCTAATCTTAAATGGAAACCTATTGGGATTAAAAGTTAAATGCAGTTCTGGAGTGTTATTATTACCTCTAAAATCCTGGTCGCTGATTTTGTCCTTCACATTGAGAGAGAGGTAGATGGGCAGGGGATTCTGACCCTGATTTAGTGCCTGCTGCTGATCTGTGAGCTTATGGGAGTTTTCCTGTTTTGAAGAAGGACAGTAGCTGAGGACAGTTAGACACAAAGAGCCGCTCACTTCATCTAAGCCTGGACTCCGACAAGGAAGTGCACACCAGGCTCCAGCTAGGATGTGTCCCACAGGCTTCATGCAGAAATGTGCTGTGACCCCTCTCTCTGATTGTCCCCTGCCCCAGCACTTCAGCACACAAACAGTCCTTGTGACTTGAGTACTCTTAAGTTAAATTCATATTCTGAAAAAAAGCCTGAGATTTAACTGGTAGGAAGAAAACATTGTTATTCATATTGTTTATTTCAGAAAAATGTCAGGAAACATTTGAAAAGTATTCTTGGCATGAGATACTTCATTGAGTAAGAGTAGCCCCTGCTCCTTATAGGCCAGGAAATCCTCTTTTCCTCAATCAACCCTGTGGTGGAGCCAAGGCTCAGACAGACTTAACATTCAGCACCACTTGACCTTCACTGCTTTGCTGCAGAGCATCTTGCATATTCAGCATGGGTAGAAAGGGCAGGAGAGATTGGGAGGGGGGCTAAGGCTTGGCAGAATGCTGATTGCAGCACCTCCCTGAAGGGGAGACCCTGCGAGAGCTGCAGGCGCTCTCACCTCACCAGAGGGGCCCTGGGAGGGATGTCAGTGCTGGGCCTACGTCAGTAGGGCCACCCTACTTCCCTCAGGCTGTGCGGGGTCCAGCGGACAGGGCTGTCGCACCTTCCCGCCAAAGCACCCCGAGGGGTTCTCCCCTTGTGCTGCACTGAGGTGGTGGGAATTACAAGAAGGGAGCATTCATGTTACCGGAGGAATGTTTCCTCTTCAAGTATAAATGGTGCAGTGGGATAAAAAAATATTCGTAATGAAATACAGCCTTGTGCGAGGTCTGAACATTGCTGTTTGTCGGAAATGGTTACACAGTGAAGAAATAAACTTAGCAACTCAGAGATAACTTTGTTTTTGTTTGAGATTTTTCATTGCTTTATCACACTGTGCAGCTTTCCCCCCTTTTTTAAAGAATGGCAGGATTGCCATTTAAATATTTACACATCAAATCTTTTACAAATCATTCATACTAGAAGTTTTCCACTATTTCCCTTTATTCATGCCCTATTTTTAGCAAGTGTGGTGTTAAATGCTACATAATACAGCCAATAAACACAAAGACTGATACTGCTGAGGCACACGCTTTAGGCATTTACTATCTGTCCTCATCGCAATAGCCACTAAATATGCGAATCTGAAAAGAAGTGTGTTTCTATTGTACCTTATCATTGAACATAGTTTCAATGATGAGTCCCCACAGATCTGTGAAACATATCTGGTGTCCATCCTGCTTCCTCTGGCACAACTCTCTTAAATAGTATTTTAGACGATCCGGTGCAAAACAAGTAAAGAACTTATTTTTGAGCACGTGCTTTCGGACATCCTTGAGTGTTTCCTCAAGATCTTTTTGGGACCAGTTAGGATCTTCATACAAATTTGACATGGTCCTTAAAGAAGAAAGAAACAAAAGGAAAAGTTTAAGTTCCCAGCTAGAGCATTGGGACACCAAGAGATTTGGCGTTATCGAGGTTTATGTAATATGCCTTGGTTTGAGATTGTAGGATGGGTTTGATGTTTGAAGGAAATGAAATGCCTTAATGTAAGCTAACTACACCAAACTGAAATGAGCAGAGTTAGAAAAAGTGACTGAAAGCTCTGTGGTTGTTCAACTTAAAGAAGAGAAGACTGAAGGGGAATATGATCTCTGTCTTCAGACATGTAAAAGAAGGTTGCAGGGAAGATCCTTATTCATGTGACTTGTCCATGCAGCAAGAATAAGGAAATAATTGCATTAAACTGCAACAAGGAAGTGAAGTCATGTTTCAGAAAAAAATTTCTAGCCGTAAGAACAGAGGAAGCCTGAAAGAGGCTGCCTAGTGAGCCTCATGCAGTCCTTTTCATTCCTGGAGTGCTCTAAGGACAAGTTAAACTTCTAAGATAGTCTCAGTAGATCCTGTCATCAGCTTTCTCAAGGTCTCTTCCTTTTCTGCTCAAAAAGCAAATTTATGTACTTTCCATTGTAAGCAGAGAGCACAGACTTCATTGACTCTCAACCTAGGTTCAGCAATAGTAGTCACTTTTGGATATGAGCTGAAATTATCTATTTACAGCAAGCTCTGAAATAAGATGAAGTGTGTTTGGTTTGGAGGGAGGGCTCTGTTACAAACTCACAGAGCTTTTCTCTCTGTGGCAGCTACCTCTTGTCTAGAACATGGCATTTAAATTGCTGATAGAGATCCTCTTGTGCCCACCACTTCTTCCATCTTCAGTGCTGCTGTTTACACGAAAAAGCACACGTATTTGTGGTGCCATCCACATATTTAATTAGAATCAAATGTATTCCAAATGCTGGCAAATACCAATCGAAGGAAATAAGAAAAAGTCACAGCAGAAGAACAAAGCCTTTTCTCAATAGTGCTATCCAAAAAAGCTGTGAACATTGATGGCTTTTGATTTGGCAGTGAATAGCCACTAAATATTTAATTATGCTTCAGCTAACAGCTCACCACTGTAAAGATGTTACATCTCTTTTTGCCATTTCTTGGCATCATTTATAGAACATTCATATGAAAACTTTGCTTTTCTTGGCCTTACCATGTTGTGCCAGATAAACCAGTGATGTATGAGACACAGTCCAAGACATTCAGTTTCTGGACACTTAGAAGGTGAGCGTACATGGCCGTCAAAGCTCTGGTTCCACCACCCGTGGTCATGATTGCCACCACAGGTACCTGTTCAATCAAAATCGAAAGACATGCCTTTAATGAAATGGTGTGGGAAAGGAGAGAAATGTCCATGCCTAGAAGAGAGAAAGGATTACAGCATCGATAAAGCAATAAAGAAGTGTGCCACCAGTTTACAAGGAGAAGTAAGTCCTGAATTAATCATGAGGCCTAGCAAGAATAAGAAATTCTTTGTATTTTTTCTGCTGTGCAGCTGTGCATTAGGAAGGTGAAATCTATCATCTCAGACATCACATTTTCAGTGCTGCATTTATTCTGCAGAACCAATAACATAGACCAGCAAAAAAAAACTTGAGGGAATGATGCCTCCTTCCATCTGAACTAGGTGTATGATGACTAACGGGTCTAAGGGAACACTGACCAATTCAGACCCCCTAGGACCAAAAGCTAATTCCTTTCACACCTTTCGCAGCTGCTGCAGGAAAACAGGAGCCATATTCACTCCACCTGCCATGTATGTATATACAATACTGGGAATGCAAGTGAGCTGTCATTACTGCTTTCTGAGATGATACAGAACCCCAGGGTGTGGTAGCCTCAGAAGAAGGATTAATCCATGAAAAAGTATTGGCTCAGTTAATATTAAGGACAGACACCATGCACTGGGGTGTATTCACCTCTTGGGCAAAGAGTCAGGAGACTCTAGGGAGACTGTTCTGCACGGAAGTGTTGGTGCTTCTAAATCTGAGGGGAAGGAAATGGCCCATGGCTTAGCGCTGACATTTAAAAGCAAGATCTTGAGTGGGAAAGATCCAGCTGTGCAGAAGAACTGCTGAGCTCAGTTTAGGGGGAAAGGAGGAAAATTTCGCACTGCAGCCTTGGTGGTATTATTAAAAAAGAGGCCTGACTTTTTCCCTGCCTTGGTCCCTCTGTTGTCATTTGCATTTGTCAAGTAAGTGACACGCTCGAGCTCCAAATGATGATGCAGTCAGACTGGAAGCATGTTGTGCTCACACAATAGAAGCCTAAATGTCAGCACAAAATTCACAACAAAAGAAAGTCTAGTTTTGAATTGGAGAAAGAACTACGGAATCAATGTGTTTGAGCTGGCTGAGATTACTGTTAATCCTAAAAAACAAGCTTTTGCTATAGTCCTGAGAGCACCCAGCCCATCTCTGCATTACCGTGCAGTCTGCTTCTCAATGCAAAGCAAGATTCTGTAGGAACAAGGTACAGATTTTTACTAGTACTCCCTACGAGCATTCATTTCTTCCCTGGAACAGAGGGGAAAAATGTCCATAGCTTGCACAATTTCCTGATCCCCTGGAAAAGGTGAAGATTAAGCACCAACACCCCGTTTTGACACCCAGTTGGTAAAGTACTGTGGAGATAGCAGAGAATAATTATGTCTCAGATACCTCATCCTCCTGCAAGTCCTCCTCCAACTGGAGGACATCCTTCAGAGCAGTTGCAACCACCTTCTTCCTCTTACAAATGAAATCCTGCTCCTGGGCACACAGGTCAAACCCCAGGCGCACGTCTAGGTCTTCCTGGCTGGAACACAGGAAGAAGTATCACATATTGTGTTTATAGTCTAATTCAGTAATTAAATTGTTTCCACTTCATAAATAGACATGCCTTCACCACCGCATCTATATAAAGCAACACAGGAAAAGAAGAGCTGAAATGTTTTTTCTGTTACTGGAGAGCTACAGCACCTCTTCCCTTCGACCGAGAATGAGGTTTTGTTCTTATTGAAAGTGCTTGAAATTGGATATAGCTACAAGTAACAGAATTGTTTCCTTTCAGACATAAAGCCAGAAGCTTGCAGAGGGCAATGTTTTAAAGACGGCTTTTGAGGGCACCTTCAAAAGTTACTAACTTCCACTGACACCTGCAATTCATGGACTAAAGCTGTGGACTTCCATGTTCAAATGCTTTTTTCCCCTGGCTGTATATAAGCACTACGGTTACAGTTTTGAAGCTGCTATGAAAATCTTGCACAGATGTCATAAGTAGCAGTGATAAATTCTATCTATTTCATTGCTTATACGCTGAAAATAAACAGCACAACAGAAAATGTGCTTGCTTTTATAAGGGAAGAAAACAGTACTTCCTACAAAATGTAATATGCTGAATTTTATTAAGGCCTTAGCCATAATTCAAAAGACAGTGTGTTTCCTTGGTTTGAAAATAAGCAATCATTTGATCGAATTAACTTGAGTTTAATTCAAGCTTAATCTTTTTGAAAAGAGGTTAAAAATGAACACAAGTACATTTATTATTTCAATTCATTCACACTCTAGAGTGACCAGGCTTTCTGGCTTTGGTCTGTTGGTTATTTTGGCTGTACTTGGGTAACAGAAATGGTTGCTTGAATTGTCCTTCTCTTCTCCTTTGCAAAGTCTGGGCAGTGCCTAGAACAGCCAGTGCTGCCCAGGGGATGGGGACTCTCACTGCCCGGGAGGAAAGAGCCATTCAAACTGCTGCTATTTAACATGCGCTGCTGCTGGACCTGGCCTGGTCACCACGGCACATCTGCATGGCTAGCGAAATCCATGCTGACAAACCTCTCCTCCTTGGACACCTCATTGCTGTTCTGTAATAATTCTGACTAGCTTTTTATACAGAGATTTTAATAAACAATTTGGAGGCCAAAGACTGCATTAACAGCCACAGTAGTCCAGCAGACAGGTTTATTTCACTGAATTTAGTATGCAAACCACAAGCGCTTTGTAAGTTGTCTTTCTGAATGACGGACCTCTCCTCTCTAGTTCCAGGCTTTCTGATAGAATTCACAATTGGATTGAAAGCAGTATGTTTATTAACCAAAGTTAATTTCCAGCAAAGTTTTAAGTCATCAGACTCTGGAAAATAAAAATACCTTCTGCAACTACTTCTGTGGTATTCTACAGGTACAGAACGCGACCTACCAGAGGAGATTTCAAGAGCAAAAGTGTTAGGAACAGATGTCATACAGAGGAAAAAAATGTATGCTTATGCTTTTTTTCAATCAATTAGTTTTCAAATGCTGCCTTTATTGAAAGTCTGCATTTGACAAAGGTTAGTAGAGCTATCAAAGAGTGTCTACAGAACCCCCTTAGTGCAAATTTTGGTTACAGCAAAATATGAGTAGAAAATTGGCATGTTCTTTATGAAACCTTTTCTTAAATCATTGTGGAGTCCCATTACGTAAAATCACAGTCCCTGAAAGCATCTGTGTTGCATACAATGTCTGACCCATCAAAAGAACACAAAAGGACTGCCACAGTAAGAGGAGTATGGTTAAGTCAGAGGGAGAGAGAGCCTACCTCACTCTTTCTAGCTGTTTAAATTAACTAAATTGTTGGAGCAGTGTAAAGGGGTCCCATCATCCCCCTAGTTCTTCTTCCCAGAGAATATCCCAGCATCAGTACTTTTTTCCTGAGTGCTCTTTTGAAGTCCCCGTGAAAGGAACAATCTGTGAAATGCAGAACAGAAGCTTACTCTATCCTGAGATTTCAAAATAACTTTTGGATTTTTATTTAATGGATTGGTTTCATAAACTGTGATTGTACTGGGTCCATTTTATTTTATAGGCTGAAATGAGGGTAAGCAAGCGTTCAGGACATCATAGGCAGTAACAAAGGGATTGAAACTTGACTGACAACTATCAGAATACAAAGAACCAAGGGGAAAAACACTTACGGACGATAAAAGAGGATATCTTACCATTTTTTCACTTTAAAGCGCAAGTCAAATTTTCTGTGCTGAAAAATCATAAAGGTAAAATAATGTACATGGATATTTTGTTTAACACAGTCCTCTTTTCCCACTCAGAATGAGGCGTTACTCCTTTGGGTCATTATTACATATACAAAGCTCTGAATCTCGGTAAAATGATTTTGGGAGATAAATAGTTCTCTCAACATTTCGTTAGTACCTGCAGGTGGGCACCAATTTAATAAGTTAAGACTTCAGTATCCTCATTGATAACCTGCATCTTTTCTCAGTTATACAACTTAGAAGTGGGACAGCTTATGTTCTAGCACTGCTTAGCTAATGCACAAATAAATAACTGCAGTGACACATCTCACTGAAAAGATCTACCATTAAACACTAGTCCAGAAACTGAAATATCTCACAAAACAACTTAAAGTGTCCAGATTAACATGCAAGTGTATCAAGGGTTCAGTCTGCCATGTTAGGCTTTGTGACCAGTAGGTGCCACTGCATTTTCCAAAATCTCAGAAAGTTAGTGTCTTTCTGCTCTTGAGAAAGCAGGGAGGGAGAGAGCCACCAAGGTGAGGAGGAAGCTGAAGAGGTCATACGCTAAGCACTGCTCATAGTGCTGCCCGGTCTCCAGCCTGTGCTAGTGAGCCAGGTTGTAGCATCTCCCCTTTATCCCAGTGGCACCCAGTCACCTCCAGCCTGCTTAAGGACATGGAATATAGAAGGAGCATAAGTGACATCGTAACATTTCTCTTCCTCCTCTGTCCCACCTGGATTACCCCTTTTATTTTACTCTAAAGAATTTATTACGTTGTGTATTGCCATAGATTTGAGAGAAGTAGGAGAATAAGCAGTTCTGTAGCAAGAGAGGTGGCCTTAGGTTTCTGTTTCTTTGAAACCAGCAACAGTTTTAAAAGGTTGGGAAGGATTCCTGATAGCCAACAGGCACTTACCTCACCGACTACTTCCTGCTCAGAGGGGAGTGACTTCAGAGGAAGAGACAACAGGACATTTCTACTCCTTCTTGCTCCACATGACATACAAGCACACTGAAAATGAGCATGGAGTTCTTTTTGGTTAAGACAGAAGTGTTCCTCTCTTGCTGCCTACTCACAAATAAAGGTCAGGTCATATGGCTGTCTGTGTTGTCTACCATGTTCTGGGGTAACGTACAAAGCTGGCAAGCCTCCTCTTCTTTGTGAATGCAACATCCAGTGAGGGTTGTTTGTATTTGGCATAGTGGAAGAAAGTGGGATCTGCGAGAGGGGAGCAGGAGTCACAGCCCAGTGAAACTCTCTGGGTTTCTTCAAAGGATCCTCTCACTGTAAACGTTAGCTCTCTCTCTAAAACAATGAGATAAAATGCACACAAAAAAAGTTACCTTTAACTGCAGGAAAGAAAGAAAGGGGAAAAAAGTGAACGGTAGATTTGGATAATCCCTTTGCCTTCTTCCTATGTAGTTTGAAAGCTGACATTCAACAATGACCCAAGACCCAAACACTGCAGGTGGTCCTATCTTTATAATGGGCTGAACAAAAAGCTAGATGTGAATGTGATGTGAATGGCACTGAGCTTTAGACTTCTGCATTTCTATGACAGTTGTATCATGATAGAGTAAATGCAGCCAGCACTGTAAATCATTTCTCATCCCAGCTAAATAATGAGCAATAGAAGTTCTCAGTCCCCTAAAATAAGATCTGACTCTGCAACAGACATTGACCCTATCTTTACGAAGAAATCATCTAATCCTAGCAGGGTGTTATGCATGCTCTGAGATTGCCTACCAGATCCAGCCCCTCAGGGGATGTAGGCAGAGGAACTTCTAGACTCTGGATCATGATCAGGGTCAGGCGCGAGCCAGTTGCTGAGTGGCTAACACCTGCAAAAAATGAGGTGTTTCTGTGCACGTGCAGAAGTTGAGCTGTCAGGGATCCTGAGGAAAGTTAAGGCCATGGACTACAGCACCGAAGGAAGTAAGTTTCTTCAGGGTTTGGCAGTACTACAGCAGAGTTTTACAGGATCTCAACTTCTGATTTAGATACCTTCTGTACAGACACAGGGTGCCCTGTTTCTAGTTTGGCATAAGGTTCCCTGTGAAGTAAGAACCCTGAATCTAAACCTGCTGCTGAATGGGTGGCATTTCCTACCGTGAAGTTTGTATAAGTTGCCTTAGACACAGTTAATCAGACCCTTAATATTTGGATGATGCCATTTCCAGGCACTGTTAGAGAGGGTAAAATCACTAACATCCACTTAAAGAATTAATAAGTTTACCTGCACAGTGCTTCTTTTTATTCCTTCTATCCAACTGAACTTCCAAGCAGGCTAGTTCACGACACTGTAAGAGACATGACCGAGATGGAAGATTACTCATCCAGCCATCTCTCCATGAGCGCTGGCAGATGTTGGAAGTGTCATTGTAAGCAGAATGCTTGAATGTGGGGGCTAAATGTCTTGGAGGCTTCTGCCAGGCTCAGTGACAGTGAGAATTACTTCCTCCTCACATGGAAAGATGGTGCTATGCTAAGCACACTATAGTTTTCTATGGATGCAGACAAAGCAGGGGGAAGTGATAGCAGCCTGAAAGCTCCTTTAGGGTCATGTTGGCCTCCTCAAAGGGAATTAAAGCCTCAGAGAAAAAAGTATCACTGAAGAATGAAGACTTGCAATGTTTCCCTCGCTACTATCATAGTCAGCTAAGGTACAGAATGATGGAGGAAAGAACACAAGAAAACAAAGCAAATAATCTTTTACCACTATTGCTCCATTTGTGATGATGGTTTCAGGAGGACCCTGGCTAGAACACAAGAACAAGTAATATGCATTTCATAACAAATATAATCTGGTTATTGTTTTGAACAAGACAGATCTTTCTCTCTTAAGCATGAATTTTTGCTCCTCTTTATTATTTACAGAAGCACATTCCCTTTTAGCTAGAAGCCACATAACTACCTAGCAGAAATGATTCAACTGCAATAGAACACCAGGTAGATGATTGTAACAGTCTTAATACCACAGGTAAATCCCAGATTGGGTAATAACATTCCCTCAAACCATAAACTGCCTGGAGAATCCTCTCCAGAAAATCAACAGACTTACTGCAGTGAGATTCACCCATCCCAGAAAGCCAACTCTGAACTACGTAAGTAGCATATCAGTTTTAAGAAAAAATATATGTCATTTTCATTTCTTTTAAGGATATGCTAATGCATGCATTAATTTGGGAAAAAGGCAGAATCTGGCTAGTAAGATAATAGGTGTACAGAATGTCTCACTGCACTGATATACTCACATGCTCTCCAATGCAAACTCAACTTCTAGCTCCTCCTTCCCCTGGAAATGTAAGAAAAATTAAAGAAAAGGGGAGGAAAAAAAAAAAGAATAGTCTCAATTTGCGTGTGTGGAGGTTTGCAAAGTGGTCTTAAAGCACTTGCTTTAATATGTAACAATATTTTCTTTCTTACTTGCTATTGTTACCAAAAAAGAACAGAGGCAGCTTCTTTCCCCGCAAAGGAAGAGGCAATATTAACTGGACTAGCATAACAAAAGGTGTTTACAAGCTTCCTAGTAAACTTTTATTTGTCACACTTTCTCCCCTGCCAGCTTCCATGTGCTGAACACTGTATGCTAAGAGTTAGTGTTTAGAAAAATATTGTGGAAATAGGCCGAGTTTTCCTTTCCTTGTATTGTTTTTCTTCTCACAAGCTTTGTGAGCATTAGGTAATCTCCGTCATTTTCTGTCAGATTAGTGAAAATACAAAGCTTCTCTAAAATTGCATCTAATCCCTGAGCTCAGGGATTTGGCTAGAATCTATGTCTGAGGAAACAGGCAAGAATTGGTTGAGGTTATGAGTTTTTTTCCACCAGTGTTAAATTTGCAAGATTTGAAGAAGTTTTGTTATGCTACTTGGAAGCTGGTCCTGGTGGTAAAACATGAAAGGCAGCAGATCTCTCTAGTAAATCTAGACATCCATTTTCTTTTGCCCCTGTTTAAACTGCAGATTGAAGTTTAAATCTTACCTGTGGATTTAGTGGAAATGTCATAAATACTCTTT